CCTACATGATGCTCGTGGCTGTTTCCACAGACTCTGGTTTGTTCTCTCTCTCTCTCTCTCTCTCTCTCTCTCTCTCTCTCTCTCTCTCTCTCTCCTGTGTTTTTTTTTAAAAAAAAACCTATAATGACCCAGCTTGGTCCCCATGGTAACAATTGCACACTTAATCATCTCTTAGGCCAACTACTATGTCAAGTAGTTACCATCTCATTGAATAAGAACTTTCTAAGGTAGCCACAACTATTCCCATATTAGAGATGAAGAAACTAAAACTAACGTCATTTGCCAAGGGATCCAGCTAGTAAGGAACATGACCAGGCCTCAGAGCCTATGCTCCGTGACCTGTCCTCCATGACCTGCAGCCATAGACCTTAGTCAGCATCAGGCAAAGCTTTCAGCTGTGTGTATGAAGGAATTGAAGCCCAAGGGAAGAGTATTGGCCCTGGATTCAAGGCTGAGAAGAATAGGGCTGCTGAGCACTACTCCTGGCTTTTCCATACAGAACAGATCTAGTCTCAGCCTGGGGTCTCTTTTCAACTTTTTACTTTCCTAAAACTCTTGGAGCAGGCTGGGTTTTCTGAAACTTTGAGCCATGGGACTGAGATCAGACAAGACTGTCAGAACTTTATTCCATCCTGAGGCATAATGCGCTCTGAATTGGTCTGAAACTAAGAACCTCTACTTGTGTGAATATAGTGAGGCTGACTTCAGGCCTCTGTCTCCTGTGGCCCCTCTGACCAGCTAATGCCAAGGCAAGGACCCTTCCCTATACTTCAGAAGCTTTCTGGACACTTGGCCTCTGGATCACAGATTTTCTTTTTCCTTTTTTAGAAAATGTTTAATTAAGTGTATATGTGTCGGTATATGCACATGAGTGCCAGTACCCTCTTACATCCCCTGGAGCTGGAGTTACAGACAGCGGTGAGCCACCCGACATGGGTACTGGGAACTGAACCCATCCTTCTGTAAATGCAGTAAGGGCTCTTAACTGCTAATCCATCTCTTCAGTCCTCAAACATTTTTTAAAAACGGTGACAGATAACTAGTGCCATTAGCTTGGTGTCCCCTCAGCAGCTCTTCATTTTCTCTGATAAAAAGTGAAATAAATGAAAACAGTGCTTTAAAAACATCTATAAATGAGTGGGAGCCAGTTGTCATTTTCCCCTTCCTCCTCCTTTTCCCTCCTCTCTTAACTGACTTAATGAGGATCCAAGCTGAGAAGCACTTGCTGCAAACAGCTGGTAGCATCATGCCTTTAAATAGCCCTCACAACACTTCCCCTTGGTGGCATGCAGTTTGCCCTGTCAGGGAAAGCCCGGGACACACAGGAAACTTCAGAACTTTCTAGACAGGAAAGATCTCTCTCTCTCTTCCCCTCCCTCCCTCCCTCCCTCTCTCCCTCTCTCCTTCCCTTCCTCTGTCCTTCAATCATGCTCCCTGATGCCAAGACCTTTGTGTAAGGACCTTGCAGTCCCTTTCCCAAGAAGTTTCCCAGGAAAAAACTAAACCAGGACCTGTGAGACTCCAGCCCTGGGAAGAATGGCAGAGGACTCCCTCAGGTAACAGTGCCAGGCTCAGGCCGAAGCCCGGGGCTGATCATAACAATTGGCACCATCCATTCACCAGGCATGTTAGGGCTCTGCTGTCTCTTAGCTACAGTCTCTTCCTGAAGCCTTCCCCTGTAACACAGTCAGAGTGGCCCCATCCACAGTGCCCTTTAAAGCAAAGGCTACAGAGGCTGGCAGCAGACTATCCACTGTGTCCCTTGGAAGAAGGGCCACTAGGCTCTCCCAGCTACACATCCAGACTGCTGGGAAAATAACAACCACTGAAACATGTAAGGAATGAACAGCCGTCATGTCTGGGTGGAAGCCAATTGTTGCCGCACTTTTTCCCTTGTCAACCTCACATCAGGGCTTCTCTTGGTCCACACAGCTTTGCTCTAAGTCACTGACTCCTGCCAAGTCACAGTTCCCCCTGTGTATTAAGGATATTTGCTCTGATGCAATAGTGGACAAGTGCTTTGAAGTATCAGAGAAAGTGACTTAGGCTGTGTTGGTCAGGAGTGGATAGAGGAAAGGGCTTTTTCTGTCTTCCTCTCTGATTGTTGGCACAGATTAAAATTATGAATGGACTGGTTTTCTTTGTTAGTATCTAAATACTTAATACTACATTTATTGGTTTCGGGGAGTTGCACTTTCATCCACCTTCTTAAACAGTGTGATGGATGTGTGTCAACTGCTCCTTGCCAGCTGGTGGCCATCATGAACCACATTTTATAGAGGCCAGTGGTGTGGCCTGTCAGAAAAGACATACACATATGGGTGTCAATGTCCTTGAATCACAAGCAATATTTGTATGCAGGAGAGAACCATCTGCTGGCCAGGGAAGACTTAGAAAGTAAGAGAATCTAGCCTGAATGAGAACAAAGATGAAAAATGACGTGTGTGAGGAACAGCAAGTGCTCATATGGGGGTGCAGGTAATAGGCTTGGGGCTTGTCTCCTGGACCATGGATGGACTTAGGGGGACTCTATGATATTCCCCCGGTCACATGAGGATGAGGATGAGAGGGTCTACCTGTACTTTCTCTGGGGAGAGGGTCCTTTATTTTCTTCGCTTTTCACAGAAGTAAAAAAAGAAAAAAGAAAAAATATATATAATGTAAGAAAAGGATACATTAAAAAAAAAAATGAGTTGGAGCCAGGTAGTAAGAGTCACTGGGATCTAGGTTGAGAGTTCGAGGATCATTAAGGTCTAGATCTCTGTGGTGACAGAGGCCACGATCTAAGGGAATCCATCTATCTGCATCAGAAAGGCATGGCTGGTCTTTTCCTAGGGAAGCAGGCTTCTGCAGCAGTTTTGTTGAAAGGTAGTGAGATCGGAGTAGGAGTCTCGCCGAGAACAAAGGGCCTTCTGGAGAGGAGAGTCTTAAGGGTGCAGTCACTGTAGGGATTTAGGGAGCCATGGAAACTGAGGTCTCTATAGAAGTGCAAGTTGGCCAGAGTATCTTGTAGGTCAGAATTCCCTGCAGGTGGTTAGGACTTGTTGGACTGGAAGTTTGGGAGGGGAAAGGGTGGAAACCAGGCTGGAGTGTGTTCTGCTGAAAGTGATGCAAGCCTTCACGTAACCATGAACTTGACCTTGCTCTACAGGAAAATGGAAAGCAGCAGGGAGGCAAGCCAAAGGAAAGGTTGTATCTGGGGAGGAGGCTAGCCATCCATGCTGCGCAGTCACAGAATTATCCAGAGAGGAAAGAAGAATGGGCGGTAGGAGAGAAAGTTTCTAAATAATGCAGAGATGCTGTGTGGGTGCCAGGACCGAGAGGAGTCCAGGCATTCAGAGCAACCTAATTGGAAGGGATTTCAGTGGAAAGGGGCATCAGGGTCATCAGTAACTACATTTGCTCTGATCTAAAAATGACCACACACACACACACACACACACACACACACACACACACACACACAGCCCCCGGGGCCTGTTGGGCTGCAGCACTGAATCTCTGTTGCTAATTCCCAAACAGTTTTCTGTTCTCCCTCAGGTAGGCTATGCCTTCTTGTATCTCGATGCTTGGGCAAATGTACTTCTGCCTTCCAGTTAGTTCCTCCATGCTTAACTTGGCACTTCTAATCTCCTGAGAGCTGGAGCCTGGGAGCCAGTCTTATTAGAACCAGATCCTAAGATAAGACTGTAAAGCTGTTGACAGATCTTCCTGGGGCCCCTCCCAATTCTTATCACTGTTCTGGGAAAAGTGACGTTGATGGTTTTCTAAATGTATAAGGATGACCAAGATCGTGTGGGGGTTGGTCAGGGACGAGGAGGTAAGCTTGGGTAATGAAGGACCTACCCTACCCTCTGCAGCACCCCAATAAGCTTCTGTTGTGTCTTCTGCCTTGAGTGACTGCCTGACAGGGTCCTCAGTGCCCCCTGAAATGCTCTACCACCTGCCTCAGTGTTGATTCTGTGTCTGCCTCTTCCTTTAAATTGAGATCTCCTGCAAAGCAGATCTCACATGTGGATTATTCCACCAGTGCCTGGCACAGAGTATGCTTGCTGAGCACATGAAGTCTCCTGATGTAGCATGTGACTTTGCTTCTGGAGAATAGAAATCTGGGCATCTGAGGCAGGCATGGTGGTCCACACCTATAGTCTCAGCACTTGGTAGACTAGAGCAAGAGGATTTCTGGGAGTTTGAGGACAGCCTGGGCTACAGAATAATACCATGGGTGTCCAAAAGGTCTGCCCCAGATCCTATCTGTCTTTGGAAAAGGTTCTTTTAAAACTGAGACAGCACATGTGTTTGAAAATATAGACCATCGGGGACTTGAGAGATGGCTCAGGAGTTAAGAGCATTGACTGCTCTTGCAGAAGACCCAGGTTCAAATTCCAGCACCCACATAGTGGCTAACAACTGTCAATAACTCCAGTTCCAGGGAATCCGATGCCCTCTTCTGACCTCCATGTGCATTGTTGAAATGGGTGTACTTACATACATATAGGCAATACACTTATACACATAAAAATTTTTTTTAATAAATAAAAATTTCAAAAGAAAACCCAGACCATTTAGAAATCCTTATTGGACCTTCTTTCTGTATATGAAGTCACAGGTTTAACTGAGAATATGACCCTGCTGATATTTTCAGTCACAGAAATGATGAGGTGTCAAAATGTCACTCTCTGTACTGTGGCTTGGATCGGGCCCTGTCTTTGGCCTAGGGAGGGGCAACAGAACCTGAAGATGGATATCTAATAAACTTGGCAGTCATGAAGGTCTGTACACAGGCCCTTTCAATATTTATGAAAGGTAGCACAGGGGTAAACTGCATGTAGCTCCCTTGGAAAAATCCAGAGGGCTTTGCCTCAGAGAGGAGGAAAATCCAACCCAAGATGCATGAACAATAACAACTGTTCTGAGTTAGGTTGAAAGCTCTGAGTTGCATTTTTTTTTTCCAAGTTGTTTGTGCTAACCACAGTTTTTTCTCCCCTTTTTCCCACCAGGGCTTATTTCAAAACCTTTGTCCCTCAGTTCCAGGAGGCTGCATTTGCCAATGGAAAGCTCTAGGAAACACCAGTGTTGAGAGGCAGCCAGCCAGACTACTCGGTCCACATGTGTGTCAGCACACAGGCCGCTTCCTGGAAGCCACTTGGAATGTCTGCATGGCAGCGTTTTGCTCGTACAGCAGCTCTGTGTATCCCAGACAGCCCTGCTCTGCTGGAACCCAAACTGGAGCTGGCTGGTGGTACCCTGAATCCTTGTACCCCTTACTGCTGGTTGCTCCCTCTTTCTTCATTATATTTCTTAGCTGGAAGAAATAAACTCATATATGATACAGAAATTTTCCAGGGAAAGTAAGATGTCATAAATGTACATACTCTGCTTTGTCCTGGAGGCTTTTTTAAAGTTTTGGGTGAACACCCCTTGGTTTTATTTTTTCCTCCTGAAACAAGTATTGTATGTGTGCCTGTGAGCCAGAGCCCCTAAATTTCAAACTCCAAATATTTCCAGTTGAGGCAGTCTTGTACTAAAGAAGAGATGATTAAAGGAATCTGAATCTGTAGGGTCCAGTCCCCCACCTCTCAGGCCACAGACTAGCACTTGGTACCACATAGATTCCAGCTCTACCTTTCCATCCCAGCCCCTGGCTCCTATGTGGACCCCTTTTCACAGCCCATGTTGGCATCATTGGATTTGCTGGATACACAAGGGGCTCCATCCTTGCCCATCTTCCTAGGCTCCTGGGAGCTCTGTGGGTTCCTGCGGCATTGTGTGAGTGGTTATAGAAGACAAAGACTAGGGGTCATGAGCTGTCACTGGTATGTATCTGATATCTTGCCTCAGACCTGACAGCTCTGTAGCCAGTCAGGATCAAGGCTGGGGAAGCCAGGCATTGTGGTACATGCTTATCACCCCAGTACTCAGAGACTAAGACAAGAGGATTGTGAGTTTGAGGCTAGCTTGGGCTACACAGTGAGACCCTGTTTCAGAAGCCATTGAGTTACCACCCTGACTCCATCCTCTGTCACAGCCATCAGAGTACAGAGGGGAGAATCAAGGCCTAGAGGCTCTAGGAATCCATGGCAAACCAGGAGTGATGTGGGAAGGGGCATCATCACCAAGGCCTTTATAACAACGTACAGCTCCCTACGTACAGCAGACTATAGTCTGCTCAGTCACTCAGCAAGACCTACATACACAGTTTGGTATAGTATGGCCCTACCATGAAGGCAACTTTCAGCACACACAAGAACCTAGAGGCCAGAAAAGCAAGAGCCACCTGGCTGGCCTGTTCCCCCTCTTCTGCCTACAGCCTTCCCCTTCCATGGGAAACCAAGGCCCCTCTTTCAGGCCACACACAGTCCTCTCACTTGTTTCCTTGTTCCTGTGGTGGCTCTTACCACCACATGAGCCCAAAATGAAGTCCCTGGGTCCCATTGCTCCTTCCTGTAGCCCAAACACTAGGAGTGTTCTCAGAGTCCAGAGAAGAGCTGGAACAGATTTGTCTGCTGGACTATAAACTGGGTGCTGCCTGCTGTCATATAGGGGGCACTTTGCCTCATGCCCTTGGGAATTCCCAGGACAGAGCAGTCCTATGTCTACATCCTCACTCTGCCATTAACTGGCCGCATGACTCAAGTCAGTCCATTCCTTTCTGTAATACAAGAAGTAGGGATAGACCAGACTGTGGCCTCAGCTCACCAGAATCTCCCAGGGAGCTTTTTAGGAACTCCTATACTTGTCCTCCATACAGGACTAGACTCATATGTTGAGCTAGACTCATATGAACTGGAATGTGAGCATCTGGATTTTAGTGGAACTCCCCAGGGAGTCTGCTGGATGGTTCACACTGAAGTCTGTTCTGGACCTTGCCCTCTCCTCGGGGCATATGTGTACCAAGCTCCAAGTCCTCCCCCTAAGGCTCCATGGCATGGTCTCTTAGACTGTGCTGGCTATCCAGCACCAAGTAGGGGCATGTTTTGGACTTTGGCTGCCTACTGAGTCAAGAGCTGATGGAGCCATTATTCCCTTGGGACCTAGCAGGCCTTTCCAGATCTTGCGTGGGGTGGCTGGTGGTATGGAATACACATAGACTGAACCTCTGCATTTCTGTAACCATTCAACAGTGCCAGCAGCCAGTGATGGCAGTGCCATCCGAAACTGTTCCCCTCCTGCCCTTGCCAACCTCTAGGGTTAGCATGCCCAGGCTAGCCAGATGATTAATGACATCCTCACACATACTGAAACAGACACAGCCTGTCTAGGAAGTGCTATCACAGACATGGATGGGCTCAGAGCATCTTTACAGCAGACCCATGATGTAAGCGAGTAGCTGGGGTCAGTCCTAGTCCACAGATGAGGAAACAGGATCAGAGAGGTTAAATGAATCACCCATGATCACCAACCAGGCAGTATCAACATCAGGACTGAGCCCAGAGTCCTGGTTCCTGATCTAGCACCCCCATTCACATACATCCATAGGTCAAAGGAATACATCGAGGCTCCTTTATCTTTCCCAGTAAAAGGTGACATACTATTATGTAGGTTTGTGGAAACAGAGATTACGTTTACAAAGATGGCTCAGCAGGGTAAAGCACGCTTGCTTTGCAAGCCTGGTGACTTAAGTTCAATCCCCAGAACCCACGTGAAAAGCTGGATGGAGGTGCAGATCTGTAATCACAGCACTCCTGTGATGAGATGGGAGGCAGAAACAGGAGAATTAGCCCGAAGCAGAAACAAGAGACCCTGCCTCAAATCAAGGTGGAAGGTGAGACCCAACCCCCAGAAAACTGTCACTTGTCCTACAAACACACTGTGGCACATGCTTGCACACACACACACACACACACACACACACACACACACACACACTATCGTAGGAAAAATAAAAGCGAAAATGACAAGTTATCACTTTATACGGATTCAAAACACAGGGCTGTGTGATTATCATCCCAACAACAGAAGCAAATGGGTTGAGAGACCTTGCATATTTTTTAAGCATCTCACTGGCTTCACCCATTGGCTTTGTCCATCAGGAAGCATTGTACCTGCTCATAGAGTGCAGCCAAGGACTAATTAGTAATTGGCTATAAAATGCTTTCAAGATGCCAAGTGCCATAGAGGAGAGCACATTATTATTACCTCATAAACCCTGTCTCCAGCTTACTCAGCCCTTAAAATTTAAGGCGAATCTTTAGCTCAGCACAGACAAGGTAAAGGACTCAGATGTGTTTATTAATAATACTTGGGTATGATGGGGCATCCCCTAGGGGCCTGGGAAGAAAGGTCAAGACACCCTGGTTAGCCAGTGTTCAGTCATCTTCCAGCAGTGTGGCTTCCAAGGACTCACTGTCCAGAGCCTGATGGTAGAATGTTAGATGAAACCCATTTCCTGAAATATAAACTGGAAAAGGTATGAGCTTTGGGATGACAGAGATGTGTATTCAAATCCTGCATCTGCTCACTTAGTAGCTGATAAATATTTAACAACCGACTAACTCTCTTATGATTAAAAAAAAAATAGACTCAGTTGTAGGTCCTGCTTGTCAGATTCCATATGTAGATCACCATCATGACCAATTTCAAGCCACCCATTTGCGGTCACTGAATGCAGAATTGGGAGGCACAAGGAAAGCTCAATGGTGAGAGCTCTGCTGGGGGAGCAGCTCCAACAAGTGCCTTTATTTGTGCTTCCTTTTAAAATGGCAATAAGCACCTTTAAGTGAGAAAAAAGACACTAGGCACCGAGTGGGGAGCTTGGCAGTTGATAAACAGCAGTCGTTATTCCTGCAGACCGTAGAGAGAATTTTCTGGTGTTAACTTTGGCCTTTTTCTAAAAAGTCAGAGCATCCCTGTGAGAAAGTTCTGCTGATGAACATGGCCTTTGGAAGAGTGGCCCTGTCTGGGTTACCAGGAAGACAAAATGATGAGTCATCTTGTGTTTTAAGGACTAGGGGGCATTGTGGGAGCCCTCCCCTCCTCCAAACACACTGGTCTTGCTTTAACGCAGCAAGATTTCTGGGCTACCCTGGAGAACCAAGACCCAGTGACCTGCTTCCCTGGCCCCTGCCTTCCCACAGCAAAAAAAAATCAGAGCAACGCAGTTTGCTTTCCTTCTGACTCGGTTTCAGTTCCTGCCGGTTACAGACTCTTGTTTAAGAGTCACAGCCTTGCCAGTGCGGTGACCACATTGGGTTTGCTCTTGCATGGGATTCTAAATAGAACCAGCCCAGGAACCTGCCCCAGTTCCTGGGGACAGGCCCATCCTCTGCAGTGCTCAGCCTGAAGCCCATCCAACTATTAATAGCACTGTAACTGATTCATTGATACTTTTACAAATGAAAATGGGAACTATCAACTTCTGCTTTAGTATCTACAGTGCTTGAGTACAAGGCCAGTTAGATGCCAACTAGAAAAATTGGGGGCTAGTAGGTACTCTAAGTTCTCATAACAACTAAATAAGGTAAGTGTTTTCCTGTCTCCACTTTTGTTTGTTTGGTTTATTGTTTTGTTTTGTTGTTTTGGGGTTTTTTGAGATAGGGTCTCCCTGTAGCCCAGCTGGCATGGAATGTACTATGTAGACCAGGCTGGCCTCCATCTCACAGCCCGCCTCTGCCTCCTGAGTGCTGGGATTAAAGGCATGTGCCACCATGCCCAGCTTCTATCTCCACTTTTGGAACCAAAACACTAAGGGTAGGGACTTAGCTCAGTAGAAAAGTGCTTACCTAGCATATTCAAGGCACTAGGTTCCAAAATATGGAACTTTCAAGGGTTACTTAATTTACCAGAGACATGGAGCCAGCATGTTCATTCATTCGCCTATCCTCCTTTCTCTCCCGGTTCCTCTCCTGTCTCTCCTTCCCACCCTTTTCTTTTCTTTCCACTTCCTTACAACACAAAGAACTGATACAGCTCCCTCTGTTTCTTTCCACCTCCATAATCCAGCTTCTCCTAATGCAAGATACTCATTTGTTGTGTATAGGCCCTGTGTGTGACATCACATGCGATCAGAGGCAGCTTTAGTCAATGACCAAACGGGGATTCCGTAAGATTGTACCACCTTGCAATGCTGTAGGCATCTTAGTTTTTGTAACTTATGCTGTGATGCCCACACAGCCACGCAGTTCATTTCTCAGAGCATGTCTTCACCACTGAGCAACTCACCACTGTAATTGTTTCTGTCATTTCTCACAAGTGGAGAGGGTCTTGGTATGGTGGGGCCTGGCTGAAATCACGTGAAGCTGGAGTTGGGCCCAGGTTTGCTCACTGTGAGGCCAGACTGACCAGAACAGATTCTAGGAATGTCAGTGTGACACCAGGAAAATAGTATTTTGAAGCTGGGCATGGTAGCACATGCCTATAATCCTAGCACTTG